AGCTAAGAGAATACGCCATCCCCTTTTCCTTATGACTCAGGGTGAAGTCTCTCTCAGGGAGGAGTGATAGGGAATGGCAAAGGACACACTGACAAAGAAGATTAATCAGAACTGGCTTTGACAAGCACTGTGGCATTTGGACAAGAACAAACTGGGAGGAGGGTAGAGAGAATAGTACAACAATAAATGAATGGAAACCCAAAATCTCTGTAAATGTTTATGAAAATTAATAAAATATAGAAAAAAAAAAAGAAGTTGTCATTAGGGTGCCCCCTGCTGGCTTAAAGCATTTACATGGGTAGAAATACTGACAACCAAACATGTAGGATTATGAGTTTAATCCCTTTGACCTACCCAGATTGTCATCTTTTCATTTGTTTTTATATATAATTGTTTGAAACTATTAATAACATGGAAATTTTGTCTTTAACCTTTATTTAGCTCTGTTTTTTTAATATTGAAGTAACATATATTTCATCTAACTTATTGTTTATCATCTAATTAAAAAATACCAGTTGACTAATGTGTATTATTCTGTAATGCTATCTGAAATGTTGGTGGTAAGAGTTCACCAGGAGAAAGATGAGGCTGTACTTGTAAAATTTACACCTTCAACATCTAAGGAGTATCAGTGAATTAATACCAAATTGAGGGAAATAAATTATTGCCTAATTACTAATTTTTCTCTCCTTTTCTACCCTCATGTCCTTGGTATCCATCAAAGAATGTTTCCTATTGTGTGTAAACTTTTTATATTGTGGTCTTATTTATACATGTCTTTTGGTTATAGTTTAACTACCTAAATATTTTCCGTAGATTATCCCTGTTGTAGGGTCTTAGAAATCATTATTCCTTAATGCTGTGTAGTATTTAATTCTGTATACATATCATAGTTGATTATCCATTTATTCCTTGATTGGCACTGTGGTTGTGTTTGAGTTTTGGTTAATATGCACAATACTGTTAAGGACATGATATATATGAGTGCATTCTTTGGCATGTAAGCCTAGTTAATGGATCACTGTATCAAAACATTTTTCTATTTCCATATTTTAAAAAGGAACTGTTGTTGTAGTTAGGTATAACATTTCATAACCTCATCTGCATTGTTTCAGTGTTCACGTGTCTTCCCATTTTTTACTACTAATTTTGTCTATTATTAATTTTTTAAATAAAATCTTTTCTTTGAATCGTAATTTAAAAAAAAAAAATTATCATCTCTTAGGTTGCCTAAAAATGTTTCTACTTAAAGACATAACATTGACTTGACAGCAATGGGTTTAGTTGGTTTGGTATTTTTAATTACTTATAATAAACACATCCGAATTTAGGAAAATATTAAATATTTGTTTTGTTTGGATATTGGAAGCCCTTTCCCCCCCCCCCCACTCCATGTTCAAAAATAAGTTCTGTAGTGGCACAAATTTCTCTCTTCTTCCTAATCTTATTTAAGAGCCTGAAGGGACACTACTGTGGAAAGCCTGAATTATAAATAGTATAGGCTTCCAGATAGCAATTAAAGAGAAGGGCCATTGTATGCTGAGGATTTGACTTGCTTGGCTTCCTTCCTATTCTGTTGCTTGCATTTACAGTTCTCTTAAATCAAAAGTCGATGGGCTTGAATATGGCAGAGATAGTGAGGATGGTAACAAGGCAAGATTGTGATTTTTTGTTCGTAGGATCACTATGAGTCATAGTTGACTCATTGACAACTAACAAAGCCAAAAGCTACAACAAGAAACCATTTTACTACAAGGTTCTAAACCACTGGTTGTTCTGTAGGAGGAAGATGGGCAATCAACTACCCCTGTGATGGACTGCCTCTGAAAACAAGCTGGAGAGTCAGCTGTGGGTTGGTTCCAATTTGACAGTACTCAGCAACAACAAACATCTTTGATTAAGTAAGGAACAGCATTGGCAACTATATGGACTCATAATGAGTAAACAACAGCAACAGAAAAAGATAATTTGAGGAAGAAAAAGGTTCTGCTTTTCAGACTTACAGGAGCCCACAGCAGGCTAACACCAAAGGCTGAGAAATCATAGCCACTTCCTGAGTCTGTGTTCTTAAACATGGGAGGGTATTAGAATCTTCAAACAAATGAAAACTACACCACCACCACCAAAAAGGAATAAATCTGATTCCAAATTAATTACTAATTATTTGACCATAAAACCACCATCCATCTTCCACTATTACTGTTAGACAAACATCTACCCTAATCTGCCACACCAAATCAAAATCATAGCCAGAACAAGATACAAATTTGAGAAAAAATCAATAGTGATTCCTAATCACTATGACAAAAGAGCTAAGACATCAGATACAGAAAAATAAAGAGATCAAGGCTAAATGAGATGCTTCAACAAGGACCACAGAACTGATGCATGGTAGAAAAGGCTGGATCTCCAGAAAATTTAAATTTTTTTTTAAGAAAAAAAAAGTTTTGTTTGCCTGAATCAAAATGAGAACAATCAGAAGATAATCTTCTTATAAAAAGAAAAATTTGCATTTGTATGTAAATCTGCAATCAGTCAAGGCAATAAATCTTCTTTGCACATTTTTTCCAGATTAGTTGGCAGTTGGGAGAGAAATTATCTGGGTAGGGCCTTTAGTCATTGAACAGGAGCAACTGGACTCAGAAAATAGACACCACCATTTTAAGCTGTTGACTTTGAGAAAGAATTGTAAGAAATAACACTCAGTACACTTTTCCACCTCCATCTTATGCTAATGCCACAATGGCCTCTCAGGTGAGTTGTCCAGAGACAGCCGGTGTTCACAGAGCTGCTGAAATGGAAGTCTGTCTACCAAGATATTAAACCGCAGGCAGCCTTAAAACCGTTTGGTCTAAAATAGTCTCATCATCTCAGTGTTTTATCTATTTTCTAATTTCTACAATTGACCTCTTATGGCTTTTAATGGTGAAATCATGCTTCACATTGTTCCTCTTTGCTGAAAAAAATGCTCTAGATATTAATCTAGAAAAGTACGTTCACTCTCCTTTCAAAATGTCTGCCTGCCTGAAGCAAAGATAATTAGGTACTCAGTAAAAAGTGTTCTCTCAGTTGCGTCAAAGATCCCCGAGCACCTTTGATTTTGCTCAATTTCTTCTCCTACTACAAACCGTACTTTAGAATTTATCTTCTGTTCAGTCTTAATGGAGATCGGTTTGTTTACTTTTAGCAGGCTGGCCCTCTTTTTATAAGAGCTTGACAAAACTTCCTCTACCAGCCTGTTATATCCAACCTTCAGGTTGTCGGGTGTAGCAGTTAGTTCAGACACAGCGACCCCATTACACAAGTCTTTCCAGATTCTGTGCGACGCCACGCAGAATCCGCTTTAAACCTGCTAGATGGCGCAATGAACAGCTGGAGTTTACTATATAAAATAGCTATCAGTAAAGCAATGAGCTGTAACCTGCAAATTTGCACGATCAAGGGGTACAGCTCCGTAGGGACTATCCTGACTTACCAGCCTTCCTCACTTTAAGAGGAAAGGGTGTAGAGAAAAATTACAGCTCCTTTGTGGTCAAGTGGGTGGCTCTTAAAAGAGCCTTTTGGGTTGGGTGCAAGGCGCTTACTTGGCAAGTTTACTTGGAGCTGGTGTACTTGGTGACGGCCTTGGTGCCCTCGGACACGGCGTGCTTGGCCAGCTCCCCAGGCAACAGCAGGCGCACGGCCGTCTGGATCTCCCGCGACGTGATGGTAGAGCGCTTGTTGTAATGCGCCAGGCGGGACGCCTCGCCAGCGATGCGCTCGAAGATGTCGTTGACGAAGGAGTTCATGATGCCCATGGCCTTAGAGGAGATGCCGGTGTCGGGGTGAACCTGCTTCAGCACCTTGTACACGTACACGGAGTAGCTCTCCTTGCGGCTGCGCTTGCGCTTCTTGCCGTCCTTCTTCTGTGCCTTGGTTACTGCTTTCTTGGAGCCCTTCTTCGGGGCCGGAGCAGACTTCGCCGGTTCAGGCATTTTTAAATCTCAAAATACCAGAACAGGAATAAAGCTAAGGAGCGAATTTCTGCTACTTATAGAGCCTTTATGCTAATGAGGGATATAAGAGAAAGCTTAGTTAATTGGAGGAAAAACAGCAGACGTCATCTAGGGGCAGAACTATGTAAATGAGGTCCAGAAAAATGCACTTGTATTGGCTACTTGCTACTAACCAATCAAATAGCAGATCTTAGTCCCCGGAAAATGCCTATAAAAGCAGCCGTCCTTAACTTACTTCCCGGATTATTCAGGCTTTTCGCTTGTGGGTATTTTTTAGTTTGAGTTACTTTCTTTCACTCTTTGTTTGATCTGCTTGCAATGTCTGGACGTGGCAAGCAGGGAGGAAAGGCTCGCGCCAAAGCCAAGTCCCGTTCTTCCCGGGCAGGGCTCCAGTTCCCTGTGGGCAGAGTTCACCGTCTGCTCCGTAAAGGCAACTATGCCGAGCGGGTGGGCGCCGGCGCTCCAGTCTACCTGGCGGCGGTGTTGGAGTACTTGACCGCCGAGATCTTGGAGCTGGCGGGGAACGCAGCCCGCGACAACAAGAAGACGCGCATTATCCCGCGCCATCTGCAGCTGGCCATCCGCAACGACGAGGAGCTCAACAAACTGCTGGGCCGCGTCACCATTGCACAGGGCGGCGTCCTGCCCAACATCCAGGCCGTTCTGCTGCCCAAGAAAACCGAGAGCCACCACAAGGCCAAGGGAAAATAACTGAATTCCTGTATGAGTTTTCACTTTATTCAAACCCAAAGGCTCTTTTCAGAGCCCCCCACCGCCTCAAAAAGAGGAGCTAAACGCACTAAAAGTTTAAAAGGCTGGAGAATGGAAAGGTAAGTCTGCAGCAGACCTAATACTTCGAATCTCTTGAACTTAACTGAGTAAGTCAGTTCAGGAATGTTAAGTAGCTTAACTGCCTTTGGTCCAAAACTTGTGTGTGAACGACTTAGCTGTTACTTTACAAACAAGTTTTCATTACAAAGCTGCAATCCTGAGGGAAGGTTCTGTTCCAGTCCGCCTTGCCAGTAATGTAACTTACAAAATGGGCCTGAAATTTAGATCTGGAAGAACCCCCGGAGTGGTATAAATTGAAGCTAGATACTTAAATGTTTCTAATTACAGTCCATTGGTCCACTTAATACCCCACTTTTTATCTAAGCCTGTTCTTTCTGTAAACCTTGAGAACACTATTCTTGTACAGCCTTTAAAAGTTACGCGGTGCTCCTGAAAGATGCTTGTTAGAGGTACGATAATTTAAGTACGGCCTTTAATGCAACGGGAAAAGAGGGTAGAGCCGCAAGACTCCCCAAAAAACCGCCATTAAAACCTTGCAGGAAGAAATTTTGTAATACACTTTCCCTGAGTTCGAGTCTTCTAGTTTATTTGCATGATCTGCTTTGTGTTTTAAAGCACTAGTCAGTCCCTGCCCTGGCACACAAGCGGCTTGAAGGACCCCAGCAAAGGCAGCCTCCTAGGTCAGCAGACCTTGCAACTCAGCACTAAGCACTGAATCACACATAGTATTCACATCCAAGTTTGCACAGCAGGAGTCCAGGCTCAAGTGGTTGTCCTCTGGACCACCTCCTGCTTTCCATTGCCATCTTGAGGTGGCCTCAGCACTTTCCTTTCTGTCCCTGAACTCAAAAGTTCAGTAAAGAAACCAGACTAACCACCTTTGTCAATTTCCGGAGGAATAAAGTCAAAAGGGTTTTATGGGCTGAAGAGCCCATCAGACAGAAGGACAGTGCCCCCTTGGTAGGCCTGCAGGCCAGTCGCTGCAGTCCACAGAAAGGACTGGTTCTTTCAGCCCAGCACTTTGAATGTTAGAAAACTTAAATCTTCAGATTGAAATTTCTTTATCAGGCTTTCACTAGATAGACTGCCCTTGAACCAAGCTCCATCAATAACTAGATGTGGGAAATTGGTCTAAATGAGAACAAAAGTGCTAAAGAGAATAGCTAACACTTATTAGACACTGCACATGTGTAGGTTTCTACACATTTTTTTTTTGTTTTTTCTACACATTTTTGTTTGTTTGTTTGATTATTTAATGTCAAGTGGTAACCAATTCTTAGCTGACCCTCCAGCAGGTTTCCAGAGGCTACAAAAAAAAGAAAAAAAAGAGGTCAGGGAGATTACCCTCCTTCTCCAACTGAAGCTGCTGATGGATTTGAACTGTGTGCTTTTGGGCTAACAGGACAACTCTTACCACTCGATCGCCAGAGTGTATAGCTTAGTGCTAAATAATTGCACTACTGATGCAATGATAAGAGGTTTGGAACAATTGGCTGCTTTACAGGATGGGCAATTATCTCCCACCTTCTGTGATCTATTTACAGCCTCTGAAACCCTGCTGAAGGGTCAGCTATGGATTGGTTTCAACTGAGAGTATACAAAAGTATTGGTAAAGGTAGGAATACCCAAATCACAATTATAAGGTTTAAGAGATTTAGTTTAAATAGCTTGTCTAAGTGCTTCTAACTATGGCTATTCTATAATCAGTACCTTCCCAAATAAGAAAATACAACCAATAAGTAACATATAGCCATTCAATCTTGTTCACATACCAGAATGTTACTAATTACAGTCCAAATCTATGAAGAACTAAAGGAGGAGGCTGAGGAAAGAGAATTTATTTGGGATCTACATATACAAAGGAAACAGGGTAAATTGAGAACGTTAACCCTGTTAACTGAGATAAAACCTAATACATTTTTTATTTGAGGTGTGACAATGAAACAAAGAAGGCTCAAGTTGGGAGGATGGTTTGTTTAAAAAAGAACTACACAGATCTTAATAAACTGATTTTATTTTGGTGAGTATAAAAGGCATTGGGAACATTGGAGTTTTATTAAGAAACCCATGTCAACACCAATAGCAAATTTTTGCATTTGGTTATTTATAGTTATTTGATTATTTCTTATCTTTGTTTCACCATCTTCAGTAAGACCTTGAGGCCAAGTCACCACATCTTGCTGGTCTAGCTGGAACAACTAGAAAGCTATTCTGGTGGTCAGTTTATTATCCAGGATACATGAATTGCAACAATAAAATTCCATTTTAAAAATGTCCTTCTGAAAATATATCTTGCATAAGCAACTTGTTTTGGAAGCTTTAGAGAACTACAGAAGGTTCCAGATAAACAGGTCTTCTCTAAGTGTGAAAACATCAAAACTGCCCTGCCTCCTCCTCCCCAAAGTACTTCTTCACCTTTCACTTTGAAATGTCACTGTTTATATCTAAAAACTCTTGTCACCTCTGGGACAAATTCTCCAGAGAGTCATTAACTCTTGGTAACCTAAGTTGGTTGCCAGCCCTTGAGCACAGTCTTGGAGAGGATGTTTTAAATTAAGAATGATAAATGAGAACTAACAACTGGTTTATCTAGGGAGGAAATACAGTTTCTCAGTAGGAGATCAACCTGGAATGAACCAATTACTTAATTTTGTCCCTGGTCATCTCAGGGACAAAAGTTAGTAAGGAATTTACTGAGATGTGCAAGCAAAGTGGCCAGAGATGGGCTTTTCCTGGGTCTTTCTGCAGTTCCCTACCTGTAAGAGCTTGGAGATTTAGTCTGTGTGCTCTTGAAGACCAAGCTGAGACAGGAGATAGCAGTCCAACTGACAAGTAGGTCCCCAAGGTCATTGCTGCAAGGCAAGCAGTTTGCATGCCAGCCTAACCTTCTGGTCCTGGACGGCTTTCAGAACAGACCTGTGTTGCAACAGGAAGGAGCAAATGTCCACATGACTTTTATTCAACAGCTTTATATAGACTGGTTATGCTGCCATCATCAGCCACCCTAGGGGGACCCCACAGGAAAGCAGAAGCCATACAATTTCAAGTGCCCAAAAAGCACTGGCACCCCCTGGCCTTGGAGATTACATTTAGTGCCACCTTCCAGCAGGAGCTGGCACGCAGCAGAGTGCCCATTTCAGCTGGCAAAGTGCAAAACTCTGTGGTCAGCTGACTCGAGTCCATTGCCTTCTGGATTAAATACTTCACCAGACCAAGGTCTCCATTCAGGAATGCTGACCAGATTCACTTTTTGAAACTCTGTCTCCTACAGCATCTGCTGCACACTGTCCTCTCTTTGTGTGCAGCAAAGACCATAAACTGACAACAAGGAGTGTTGGCCCCACTCTGATTGTGAGTGGTGAGCTCACTGCCTGGCCTGCAGATTAGGGTCCCAAAGATAGCAATTTGATACATCACTAAATTATAATGTCCTTTTTTTAATTTCCCAATAGTATACAGAATAACTATACTTCCCTGTACTCCTTCTGGCCTCTCTACTAACTTCTCTATTTCTACTATAATTTTTCACTCTTTTTTCACAAGTACGGTGGATTTTACAGTCAGTAGTTTTAAAGACTATACAAGTTTTAATGTTGGAACTAAGTTATCTTATAAGAGGTCTGTCATATGTTGATCTTAAATTATAATTATGCTAAAAATATATTAATATTTAAAATAAAAATATATTAATTAAAATTATAATTCATATACCTTCATTACTAGAAACATAGTGGAAGACTCCTTATGCATTTTGAAACAATAAGGCCTAATAGCACCAGGATTCTATTTTATTCCAATGCCTTAATATTATTGTACTAAAGTCAAGAAAGACTAGCTTCATCAGGAAATCTTCTAAAAGGCAAGGCTATCTCCTATATTTTAATGCAAAACTGTATATTAATAAATAAACAAACCTATTAAGTGAGACTAATTAAGTGTAATCATTGTAACTACAAAACAAATCAGGGAATACGACATATCAATTTAAAGAGTAATCTCACTGAAAAAAATCAGAACTCCATTAAGCTGAAAATGTTGCCATCTTGTCTATTCTAATCCCTGCTGACCCTAAAAGGACAGAATAGAACTGTTCCATAGGGTCTCCAAAGCTGGATTTTTTATGACCACTTTATGTTGTTTCCACCAATCACATCTTTCTCTTGAGGATAGGTTGGTGTGTTCAAAGCAGTCTTTTTGGTTAGCAGCTGAGCACTTCAACCACTATACCACCAAGCATCTTAGAACTCTTAGACTTTGTTATATTTGAAGAGTTTTCATGGTCTAGTGGATAAGGAGTTTTGCTGCCAACCCAAAGCCAAGTGATTGAAAAGACCATTGCCTGAATTAGGCAAACCTTAAATCTTCAAACGAACATCATTGACCCTGAGTAATTTGGAGACATCCCTGACAGCAGACTTTCCTAATGCAATCCATCTCCTGATTTCCTGAGTGCTGGTACCAAAAATGTTGATTGTGGATCCCAGAAAGATGAAATAATTGACAATTTCAGTGTTTTCTCCATCTAGCTTGCTAATCTGTCTACTGGTAAGGCTTTTTGTTGTTTTTTTTAATTTATTTGTTAATTTTAATGAAAGTTTACAGAGACTTAGGATTTCAAGTCATTCATTGTTGCACTTTTTGATTTTTGTTTTCTTGATGTTGATATGAAGTCCATATTGTGGCTGTAGTTTTTAAACTTCTCCAGCAAATACTTCAAATTTTCTTCACTTTCAGCAAGCAAGGTTTTGTCATTTGCATAGCACAATTTATTGATGAATCTTCCATTGATCTTGATGTTACATTATTCTTTATATAATCCAGCTTCTCAAATAATTTTTTCAGCATACATATTAAATAGATATGGAGAAAGGATACAACCTTGACATACACCTTTACTAATTTTAAACCATGTAGTTTCT